CTTAGGTCAGACGATACGATTATCAAATCGATCATCGACTTCTTGCACAAGCTTCACAGTACCAGATGTACTGATGCACTTTTCAATGTTCGAAGAAGTTGTTCATAATGGGCAGTCCGTTTTTTGCACAAAACTGCAGCAACTTCATGTGGTTATTCTTGAGGTCGCAATGGCCGTTTATTCCAATCACGCCGTTCCGCTCTTCAGCGTCTACTCCGATATGCTGATTAAAATTGCCCATGATTGTGACGGCCTCTGTATTCGGCACTTTGGACAAAGCACACTGCAATTCCTCAACGAAGGTATATTCTCCCTCTAAGTTATGCGCAGAGACCTGTACAAAGGTAAACGCTTTAGCTTGTAGCTTCCGTCGAGGATTGTCACCGTTCCGTTGACAGGCTTCCAATCCCATCACATGGTGCCAGTGAGAATGGTCCCAGCCGACCTGTGAGTTCAGGTCACCGGCGACGATCCATAACTGATGGTGTGGCACAGAAGCGAAAACTGCGTGCATACTTTCGCAGATCTCGTCCTTCCTTTGATCGCCCATAACACCGTTGGAGGTGTACACGACAACAACGCCGAACTTCGCGTTATTTGTTGCAAGACGGCAAACAAGCATCCGGTTGATCGTGTTTTCGACGCAGATCAAGGCTTTCACTGCTCTCCTGACTCACGCCTGAAATTCTGGTTTCCAGACCAGTGATGCTGCCTCCCGTTTTCCAGGCGATCTTCTCCCTGATTCGGATCTGAGTTTCTGAGATCACAAGCAGGTCGAGCTGACGCTACCTAACTAAATGGATAACGTCATCCAGCTTGTGATCTCAGCTGAACGTTCGCTCGTTCCAGATTCGCGACACGGGTCTTCTTCCTGCTGATGTTGATCGGCTGGAGGTCAGATTTGTTGTTGTTAAACGTTCGGATCTGTGGTCGTACGCCATTCATCACACAGCCATCGCGTTACCGAGTCTCGTAACCGAACGAAAATGCTATCTGACCGGTCACGGCGACGTACATCCGAAGCTGATTTTGTCCTCAGTAATATGAAGAACATAGTGCAGGAATTCGCGGTGCTGAACGGCTTCAATCCAGGAAGCAATCGTGGTTGCAATGTGCGCTTGACTCAGCTTTAAGGAAGTCGATGAGAATGAGAACTCGCAATGTGTGGAACACACAAAAGAAAAGCCTCCCTCCATTCCAACTCCAATTAAATTAACGATTCGGTGCCCTTCACGGATTACAAGACAAAGAAACAGCGGATGCAGTGGACATCAGTGTAATGCATCAGGATATAACAAAGGCAGTTACAGAAACGGCTGAAGACATCTTCGAAAGAAGACCTTCATCTTATGCAGGCCGACCGAAAAATCACAAAGCTAACGAAAGAACTCATGTAGAAATAAAAGAAATGATCAGAAATCAACGATCTAATAACTCGAGCTTTGCTAAGCTTTAAGGAAACTGATGGAAAACGAGTTCCGAGAATTCAGCTGCGGATTGGTAAAGGAAACCATTGAATCCAACTGAAGCGTAAAAAATTGAACTGATGACTGACGGTCGGGAACCAGCAAATTCTAACCCTCAAGGCAGGAAACACTACTGCCAACAGTAACTAAAAGCAATGCTAAATACAGTAGAAGATTTTTAGAGAAAAATTGTGTAAAGAAGCAGAACAGCAACACCCCATCTGACGACAAGGAATATAACGATACAAATAAAGTTGACGAAATTCCAGACATCTTGCCAGAAAAAATGCGACATGCAGTATGACTGTAAAAACAAGGAGCGGCGTCTGGAGAAGAAAGCATTACAGTTGAACTCGTGGAATCAGGAGGTGAAACATTGACAAAGACATTAGTGCTTTTGTTTTCACCATGTCTGATAGAACTGAAAATTCCAGACGATTGAGATACCGCGTTGGCGATTCTCTTCGCAAAATGAGAGACAGAGAAGGTTTAACGAATAGCAGGCTGATCAATTTGCTAACATTCGCTTCCAAGATCTTCACTACAATACAGAAGAGCATATTTCGAGAAAAACTGGACTCTGCACAGCCAGAAGAGCTAGCAAAATTTTGAAGTGTATTTAATTCGATAGATCATCTGCAGGTGGTGCAAAAAAATAATTCAGATAAGCAGCGAATATCAGCTTCCTCTTTATTCAATATGTTTTCGAGAAGGCTTTCAACTCAATGTACATCCGTTTTGTACTGGATTCCTTGAGTAGTCCGGGAATCCAAAAAAGATAGATATATCTGATCCCCATGATTTGCAAGAATCCAGCTGTTAGTATGAAGCTTGATGTAAACGGAAACCAGTTAAAAATCGAAAAGGGCTTTCGACAGGTGGTAAAATTTCACCGAAGTCATTGAAAAGTTTTTCAGAGCACTCGGTTGAGAACGATATTTTGATCCTCTCAAGATCATTAGAAAAATCGCCTACGATCCGCTGAAGTGAATGGACTTATTTTTGAAGAGGTGCGAAACTGTCTTTGTGGGACAGCTGTTGTGGCAGTGTCGGACTGACACGGAAGAATTAAAACGACATGGAGTACGGTTGGAAGACTGAAAATATTCCGATCTGGGAAACTGTTCTTGTGTTGAAACTGAAGGTGTTTTTATCCGTGTGTACTCCTAGTGCCGACCTGTATGTTTCGAACATGAATTCTTCTCCATAAGGCCATTCACAAATTGCAGGTCTTGCAACATAACATGGGACGATGTGTGTTAAAAATAACAAGAAAAGATTGGAAGGCGAATGAATGAGTAAAAGCACAAACAAGAGTCTGACATTTCATAGCTCGAGTAAAGATGTTAAAGTGTTAACAAAAAGTGCGTGTTGCAAGAAGAACCGACCCTGGACCACGTAGACACTAGAATGGGTTCCAGGGGGAGTAAATGATCCGTATGAAGACCTCCTGATAGATGGCTAAATGAACTGAAGAAGTTTGCGGGATTAATATACATAGAAGTCACAGAAAACAAGTTTGTGACCAGTTCTTGGAGAGACCTTCAACTTGCAGTGGACTGAAAAATGTGGATGATGATGATTTGCATAAATAATTAAATAAATAGCTATGCTGTTTTCGGTCTGTCAAATGATATATGGCGCCAAAGTGCTTGACAAAGCGATCTGGAGCTTACGATTCTATTGACAGAGAAAAGTATTCATCGCTTTCATAAGCACTTTGTTTCTGCCGTGTTAGAATTTTTTGATTTAAAAATTGGACGCCCCCTGTTACGTTTTCTGAATAGATCGATACGTTCGGATAAAATAAATATGGAAGGTATAACCATTTGGAAATCGGTCTCCCCTACACGTCCGTAAGCGACATAATTACTGATACCCATTTTTGTGCAACTTATGGCGTGGCGTCGATTTTTGCTTGTACACCATCAGCAATGAGTTGGATGTTCTTCTCAAAGGCTGCAGGCATGTGACGAGCATTGTTTGTAGCCTCATGCTTTCTTTCCCGCAACTGGTGCACGTTTATCTAACTTGGAATGAAGAGAAGCTGGAAGTCTGAACTTAACTCGAATCCAAAGATTTTGGACCCTGAGTCTGAGATTTTATTTTATTTTATTATTTTATTATAATTTATTATTGTTATTTTATGATGGTC